GGGGGGGGGGGGGGGGGGTGTAGACGAAGTTTTCCTTGCCGTCCGAATGTCTTTCCTAAGGAAATACAAAGTTTTCACAACTCTGTTGGAAGGGAGGAAAACTGATGTCAGATTGGTTCTTGAGTCAACTCACGGTTTTTGTTTTCTGTTTCAGCGCTTTTCCTCTTGAATGAAGATTTCTGTATTCTTCTTTGACGTGAGAGCATTTACGAGGTGTTGGCACAGACACAGGGGCGGGAGACTCGTGGATGACGTCACTCTGTGCACGACTCTCTGACTGCCTGTGATCGTTGAGTCGTTGATGAATTTCCGAGATGGAGGCTCGCTCTACCGTTGAGGGACAGAGGAGGCGTTCAGCGCATACTCTGTGAATGTCTGGCACAGACTCGCCAGCTCTCAGCAACTCCAGGTAGTTCAAGTCTTTGTCTGGGTAGACCCGCAGCGACAAGGCACAGAGACAGACTCCCAGCGAGAAGCTTTCTAGCTTAAACACATCCTCCGCAGGTCGACCTCTGATGTACTCAGGTCCGTTGTAGTACATTGTGGTATAGCCGCCCCAACGTTTAGAACTCTTGTTGGGAACGAGCTGAGCCATACCGAAGTCGCATAATTTGGCGTTTCCTTGCGTGTCTATCAACACGTTTTGAAGATTGACGTCTCCGTGAACGATGTGCCGGTCGTGGAGATAGAGCAAGGCGTCTACGACCTGAGAAAAATACTTGCTCACCTCGGCTTGCGTGTGACGACGCAAATCGTTAAAGAGGTTCGTGGGGTGGTATTCCGTCGCTATGACAAATTCTCCCGGACATACCAGCGCTTTTTCAACTTGGATGATGTTGGGGTGTTGTACGTTCTGGAGAAATCGAACCTCATTGCAGAAAAGGAAACGTTGATAACGGTAACCGTTCTCATCCTCAAGAAACTTGAGTGTTTTCAAAGCCATTTTCTTGGATGGGTCGTTCACATCAGCAACTCGAATGACGTAGCAATAAACCCCCAAAGCTATAGTCCCGTCTCCTTTCATACCAAGCACATCTTCTGGACTGAATGAGGAGATCGTGCATTCCCCGGGCCGAAGGTTCATCTTAGTGGACATAGTGAAGCACTGCACGATGTAGCACCTAACACAAACCACACCAAGCACTTGCACCCAGAAAAATACACGTGAAAAGTCACACAGTTCGTAGTTTCCTGTCAGTCGATAACTCTATCAAGCACCTTGTGTCACAGTTGATAAAGTACACACCCAAGTCCAGAACTATAAATTTTTACTGGTCAAACGTCCAGACGTGTAAGGGTCCCAGAAATAATCGCAAGAACAGTTTGTTAACGCAGCGATATAACTCCCAGAAGTAGAAAACAGTGGACTTGAAGCACAATGATATAACTCCCAGAAGTAGAAAACAGTGGACTTGAAGTACAACGATAATACTCTCGGAAGTATAAAACTGTATTTAAAGTCACAAAAAACAGCTGAGGAAATAACTCCACAAGAGAAAAAGCAGTGTCGCTCAGGAGATGAAATCCAAAAATGACGCGAACTCAGAGACAAAGAGAACTAAATTCAAGGACAGAATTGCAAGTACGCGAGATTTTGCCTTTGTTCAATCAACGAGAAAACACGAGAACATATTACGACCAATCGCGTTTCTTAAACGTTGCGTCCTTTCTAAAATAGAACAAAGCCGCTTGGTCAGTTGGCCATTCAGCGTCCATGCCCTCAGGTGATGTGTTCGTGACTGACACGCGGCTCGGCCAATCAGATGGCGTCTCTACCAGGAGCAGTCATCCATAACGAGAGGTACGTGAGAGCGCTCCTAGCAAAACTAGCCCAGGTAATACCTTCGTTACCACATAATCCTTTTTAAAAAAAATCAAAACTGTGAAAAAACATGAATAGATCTGCCGAGTTTTCTTTGTGCACAATATTCTATGGTGGACTCTTGCGTAACTGGTCATTCGTCACACCCCAATTATGTGTTACGAAATGACTTCGCTTGTATTACATCTCTCCAAAATATTTATGCTGGTAGAGTTTTGGATGATCAGCTTAAAGCCCTTTTGAAGTTATATACCTTGTTAATGTAAATTAAATCTTCATCCAAACTGTTCCATAATTGAACAATAGGTTAATAAGGTAAAAACAATGTCTGGTAAAGACTTAATAAGTATTCAACTCTCATCTGATAAGTGCTGTGGTGTAGTGGTTATTCTCTTCTCTTTGTACTCGTGAGAAACGCAGGCCCAAGATCGTCCCATGTGGCGCTGCAATCTAATAAAGGTAGCCAAAGTAGCAGAAGCCAAGCGTATCGTGCACCTCGCACACACACACACACACACACACACACACACACACACACATACACACACACACACACACACACACATACCTACACACTCTCACACACATACACATACATTTATATAATATATATAATGCAGGTATAATAATGTCTTTCTCTCTCTCACACACACTGGTGTGTATGTATGTGTGTGTGTGTGTGTGTGTGTGTGTGTGTGTGTGAGAGAGAGAGAGAGAGAGAGAGAGAGAGAGAGAGAGAGAGAGAAATAGAGAGAGAGAGAGAAAGAGAGAGAGAGAGAGAGAGAGAGAGAGAGAGAGAGAGAGAGAGAGAGAGAGGAAGAAACAAAACAGCTGAGCACAATCTACCCTTATCCACAAGTAGACGTAAAGCCCGGTTTCCATGTGTACGTAATGCGTAATGCGTTATGCATAATGCGTATTGCACCTTTTCCATGTGAGCGTGTATATTAACGTTCTGATCCGTCAATTTGTTCTTTTGGCCACCTAATTTTCCAGAAATCAACTGTGTCAAAACAGAACCAAAACATGACACAATACAGTCAAACTTGTGTAAGACGGCCACCCATTGTCAAGGAGAAAAGTAGCCGTATAAGACAGGTGGTCGTCTTAGGCAGGACTGATCAAGATGAAGAAAAGAAACCATTCCTATCTGAGGTCCCAATCGAAAGTAGCCTCATTGTTGTTGTTTTTGTTGTTGTTGGTTTGTATTTTGTTTGTTATTTTTATTTTGTTGCTGATTTTGCGCAAGGGTGACAATAAAACGAAATGTATCAGACGAGGAAGACCGAGTGCCATGTTAAAACAAACACATGGGTCGCCATCACTCGGAGAACGAGCGACGCTTCTGTCGCAAGTTCATGTTGACGTCCTTTGTTACTTTGTTACAGACTGGGTAAACAGTGACC